TACGTGGAATGCATACAGGAAACCCAAAGGAGAGACAAAAAGTAAATATCTTTAAAAAGTCTTTCAATATTAACCAAACTGAGTGAAAAAGGGAGAAAATGGTTTCCTGGTTAGTCAGATTTCTGTTTTCTTTTAAAACACAGTCTAAAACAGAACCATATTAGCCCAGTAAATAACAATGACAAAAGTAGTGCAACTGCCAGTAAAAATAGCAGAACATCTACAGAGTAGTAGGAATACCAGGGCATTCTGTAGGACTCTGTTCTAAGGTGAGCTGCACCTTTGTGTCTCATGACAAACTCTATCCAATAGAGGGCGTGGTCCAGTGGCTTTATCGGCTGATCTTTGTGCAGCCTGGAGAGTCTTTGCATGTTGATTTTGTAGGAGGGCTCATTCAGGACATCATGTATTGCCTCCAAAAATATGTTCCTGTCCAAATCAGAAATATCCAGAACCTTTGCAACGCCCTTTGCTCTCAGTCTGGAGAGGTTGTCTGCTTGATCAAACACAAAGGGAATGCCTACAATTGGAACCCCATGATATATAGCCTCATATATCCCATTTGTTCCCCCATGACTTATAAATAGTTTAATATTTGGATGTCCTAGGAGGTCACTCTGAGGCATCCAGTCCACTATCAAAGTGTTGTTGCCCAGAGTGGATGGTTTGTCCCCTTTATACCTCCAAATGACTTTCTGAGGAAGTTTAGCGAAAGCTGCAGCGATCTCATCGGCTAAGTCATGAGGAAGTTCTGCAATCAAAGTCCCCAGAGACATGAGGATGACTCCATGCTCTCCAGAACTCTGCACAAAGTCCTCCAAGTGTTGAGGCAGAGGTTTTGCAGGTTTACACTGGAACCCTCCCATGTACACAACATTAGGCATTGTGGGACGAGGAAACTCAAAGACAAAGTCCACTCTCATGAGCCAAATGTCTGCAGCTTGAAACAGGGAGAAGTAGCCCACATCCAATCCAAAGTAGCGGTTGGTCACAGCAGAATAATGTGGTCCAACTATCTGCTTGTATAGATGCATTCTCATGGTGTAAAAAACCATGTTTTTGACCCGCTCAAGAAAAGTCATTTGATCTGTTAGTTCCGAAGGTGGAAGTGGGACATAAGAAAGTGGAGAAGGTGCAATTGCGAAGTGGGCCTCACCATGAACAGTCCATCGAGCATTGAACACTAATGGCAAGCCAAGATAGTGAGCCAGCAGTACTCCTCCACCGTTAGCTGGGTCTGTCAGAACCGCATCATACTTGGCTTCTTGAAAGGACTTCATTAATTCTTTATTTTCAAACATATGCACAACCACTTCACAGACTTGCTTGTGTAATTCAAAAAACTTGTCTTTTAACTCCATGTCTAAAGCGAAACGGGCCCACGCGGAGCCCTTGCCTCGTTTAATTTTAATAACTTCAGACACAAAGAGACGGAAAAAATCCTCGTTTCCACCGCCGCTGACGTTCACTGTGATTGCATTGTAATGTGGAGACGTTTCACTGATGTACCAGCTGTCTGCGGCTCGAATGACTGTCACAGCGTGCCCCCGCAAGTGCAGCTCCTCAACAAGGACCCGCATGTTCACCCAGTGGCTGCCGTCATGTGGAAACACCAGAACCTTCCCACTGTGGGCAGCTGGAGTAATGACAGCCAAAAAAAAGATGATGGAAGCCAGTGACAAAAACATCTTCAGAGCTCCTCAAATAGCGCCGCCTGAAATAGAAATAGACAAGAGAAAAAGACAAAAAACACACAAAAGGATGGCTGTTACTACAGTATCCGGGGGAATGCGGGTTCAAACAGAGAGCTGAATGATGTTTCATTATATTGTCTCTTTATTTGGGGAAATTCCTTCTGACCGTCCTCACGTGTACGCAGCACACGCAGCCTCTTTCAGGAAATTAAAGTGCAGCTTGGTGCCAAGAGCCCTGCATGCAGTCTGTGTCACATCCCCGTCTATCGGGGCAGAAATGATTTTAGAACCGTAACTGTGTTCAATCTGCATAAAAGAACATTTCAAGAGCTTCCCTTTAGGAATACACATAATCCCTGTATGTATGACAAATCCCATGCAACCGTTTTCTTTTTGATCAAATGTCTAAATCTCTAACAATAGATTTGATTCCATGAAATCTCTGTTCCACTTGATAACATTAGCTGGAAAAAGGTTTTTTAAAAAAATGTTTCAGCAGTGAACAGCCGTTTTCTTTCCTCATAAGCTAAAACAAAAGTGATAAACATCAAGCTTACAGTGACAACTTCCTTGGAAATCATGTCCACAAACTCTCTTGTTGGATAGATAGACCCAAACAAAACAAACCACACAGTCAAGAGCTGAATCATACTACAGGGACGAAAAAAAAAACACTTCCTGGCTTCATTTGTCCCACCCTCAAGGCAAGAGATTCCTATCTTAGCAGGGAACATTAGTCAAACACTGCACTGAGCAGGGGCTGTAGTATTTTCAGCAGGAAGGAGTCACTGTGAGGCTACACAGATGAGATCTACATCATACGTGTGCTCTTTACCCTTTGCACTGCCAGTGAACCCTACAGTTTTAAACATACAATGGGACCTTGTTTGTGAGACCAATTGACAACTGAGTGCAAAGATAAAAAAAACAGAGAACACAGACTTCTGTTCATTCATGCTACAAGATAAGAAAGATCAGCAAAACAAAAGCAACGAATAAGCATAAAACAAATGTAACACTGTGTTAGCTATGGCAGAAAAAAAGAACACATTATTCGTATATAGTTTTTGTCACAATATAACAAAAATAACTTACTGTTAAATGTTTCCAGCTTTGTTGAAATTCACACTGCTGAGGTACGTCCGCATCCAAGCCAGTAGGATCGAAAATACAAATACTTCCTGATTTCTTTCCTTTTCTTTCGCCTCACCCCTGAATTTCTGCTAAACTTGTGACATTAAATTCTCGTCTCTCGGTGAGCCAACTTCCCTCCTCTAAAGGAAGTTGGCTCACTTAAAGTGCAGTGTGGCAAACTCCAAGTTTAGTGTTTCTTTCACTTGGCCATGCTCACATTAAACATGATACTAGAATTAAAATATATCAGGAAATATTCTATATTAATAATAAAAGAAAAAATAACAATGACTACAACTCAGCTTGATGTTTATACTGAAGGATGAAAGAGTTCAGGCAATAACACTTTGACCTGAAATGACTTTTGCTCTGCGCCCACAGAGACCCGTGTACACATGTAAGGTGGAGACTCCTCCTCTTATGAAGCATGTTTACATTTCTCACGTGTGAAAGGAAGTCCAACAAGCCATTGCGAAGCAGGGGCAAAAGCCGCTGATATGCTGCAGCTGCTGCTGCTACTGTGAGATATAACAGCAACACATGCTTTCAGCACCAAGTCAGCAGATAAACAAGCACTTGGGCCACATTCAGAGAACATCTTACACACACTGACAGTACAACTTCATTCGCTAATTTAAAGTGCTTTATTTGTATTGTGTTGATTGTGAAAAATATCACAACATCCATTTAGTTCACATGCATGAAATATGACTATCAAGGAAATTGAAGGTCACACTGTGCTGCTAATTACTGCAAGTCTCACATGTTCCACAGTGTCTCTTTTAATTGTTCAGCTCAAAATACTGCAAAGATGGTTCATTTCACCATGTCTTTATTGCCCCTGGTTTTAGGGCTGTTGTAAATAGGCTCTATCCCTCTGAAAACCAATGAACTCCTGCTGTCCCCATCCCCTCCAGGAGGACAACCCTCCCTGCATTTGTAATGAACAGTGGAGAGATAAACAGCTGACCACATGGCTGCTGACGCTGGCAGATTAGGATTCCAACATTCCCTGAGCGATCATTTGACGTGGATATATTTGCCAAATCCACAGCGCAGCTGTGGTTTTACAACACGTTTAGTGAGTTTGTCAGACAATTTTGTGGGTCTAAAATCAGTAGTTTAGAAGTTGAGAGTCTGAGGAAACGCTGTAGTTATGAAGTGATGGCTGGTTAACATGGGGTGGGCAATCCTGGTCCTCGAGGGCCACAGTCCTGCATGTTTTAGATGTTTCCCTCTTCCAACACACCTGATTCAAATGATCAGGATCATTATCAGGCTTCTGCAGAGCTTGATGATGAGCTGATCATTTCAATCAGGTGTGTTGGAAGAGGGAAACATCTAAAACATGCAGGATTGTGGCCCTCGTGGACCAGGATTGCCCACCCCTGGGATAACATGTAGTTTTAATGGGTTGCATTTCAGTTGCTATTTCATACATTGCGTGACAAGAGAAACAGAAAAAATATGTAAATGAGAGCAGCTATATTGGGAGTTCAGCCAAATTAAAATGCAGCTTGTGAGCACAAAGAGAGCAGAAGAGAAGAAAACAGATGGAAACACTGACTGAGTGTACGTTGCAGTGAAGCACAAGGAACAGGAAAACACAGTAACCCATCAAGTCCATTTTTATTGGTTTCAAATTGAAATTTCCACCATCTCTGAATGTCCCTCAGCATTTGTTTCCACAGAGCTCTGACCTGTGGACCTACAATTAAAACTAATGGTAGTGTTAGCCACATTAGCGCAACATGCCAAAACTCAGGATTTTCCTATTGTTGTGGTGACATTAACATCATAAATAAAAGTAATTCACTGGCTCCGTAGTTCCTCAGATGCTGGGAGTGCATGAAGATGCTGGTGTTCCCTCCTACAGTTAACAGGCTTATCATTATCTCTGCCTCATATAAGACACAGTCAGAGAAAAGTTTTAATTATGCAAATATTGCTTTAAAGTCAGTTTCCTACTCAGCCTTCAGCTAAATTATCAATATGCAACACAAGATTGTATAACAAAACCAAAGATGTAGTCCTACTCACAGAAAGATCAAAGTGAAAAATCAAGTATTTAAACAAAAAAACATCTAGGAGGTGGAGGATGAATTCAATAATCTTACACTCACTGTAATATTTCTAAAACTGCCTGAGACAGTTTTAGCCGTATTCATTCAGCTGCTTGTGCAGATGGCCACAGGATTGGAGATTGGGGAATAGATTGGTTCATAGGGGGTGTTTAGTACACAGTGATCTCTAATCTCGAACACAACTTGCTCAGGAGTTGAACACAAGTTAAGTGAACAGCCATCGTAGTTCTGAAAACCAAGTGTAAACCCTGAAGTTACCTCACAAACCTGAATTCCAGCTTTGTAGTACAAACCTCTGGCAGACTGTGAGGCAGCTGCACTTTCTGAATGGCTCACGTGGCATCAAGCAAGCAGTGAAGAAGGAAAAATATGCAAAGTTTGAGCAGGACAACAGTCGGTTAGTTCAGTGAGGTCGCACTTGGGTTAAATTCTTACTGGCTTGCAGAGCTGAGAGACTAATTGGTTGTGCGGGGATTTGAAAAATGGCAGAAGTAAACATCTTCATATCTTCACAGCTTTTACAACATACCTCCATGTGTATATCCATCCATCTTCATGTTGTTGTTGTTTTTATTTAAAAATAAATTCTTGTACAAAAGGAACACTCAATCACTACTCACATTTCACTTTAGGTTTACACATTGCATGACATAAACACCTAATCATGAAGAAAATAGTTAAAAACATGAGCAGCACAGCTCCACCCAGGAACAGAACCACATCTACAGAGTGGTAGGAATACCAGGGCATTCTGAGTGACGCTGGTTTCAGGTGAGCTGC